TCGTGTAGGTTCCCTGTGAGCAATGGAAATAGAGGGCCCTCTAGTGGCTTCGTGTCCAATGGAATTTATTCCAGAAACATTACCAAAAATGCACCCGTTTTGGATTTGGAGCCTTAAAAGTGTTGCAACTTCCTCAGTATTTTTATTTGGTGGAACGTTACTAGAATGGATTTGTGTTGGTTTCACTCCATCAATAGCATTCATGCTCGCGAGTCTTAATAAGCTTGTGGGTTCAAACACAAGTCAGGACTTTCAGCTCACAATCATATTAATAATCCTTGCATTTGATATAGTGCTTTATCACGGCTTCAAGACATTCAAAGAGCTTCACAGAATATACTGTAAAGTGAATTGACTGTATATTTTAGGAGCAAAACTGTAACAATACCGCTACCAATGTGCTACTGGAGAAGTTAAGCATTGGTGGAGGTGTTATCTTTTGAATGATGTGCTTTACCATTCAAGTGCCAGCAAAACTGTCCAGTGTGGAGCAGCACACCAAAGGCCACATCTCCCTTTATTCAACAGTCACACAACAACAAATTACATTTGTATAGCGCCTTTTACATCAGGAGGGCGTCCCCAGGCGCTGGACAATTAGGGATCCGCACCCCGAGCTGGGGGTTGGGATCAGGAGGGGTGAAAGGCAGGGAGGCTAGGAGTAGGAGGGCGACCGATGGCAGGGTCGAAGAAGAGGGTCTTGAAGGAGGCAAGGGAGTGGGGGGAGCCGGAGGGTCTGTGGGATGGAGTTCCAGAGGGTGGGGACAGAGAGGCTGAAGGCTCGCCCACCAATGGTACACACTAATAATAATAATAATAATCCTTGCATTTGATATAGCGCTTTTCACAAGATAACAAAGGCAAGAATCCTGGCAGTTCCTTGTCCGCTTTGTCCGGACGCTCAGAACAATTATAGCACCTACACCTCCAGTTAAAAAGATCAAGACTTGGTTAGTTAGTGCACTTACTGACTGAGATACCCGGCTACCCTACTCGTTTTAATGACTACATGGCTACATACAAATCTTAGTTGAAGTCGATGCATTTGATATTTGAAAACTCGGATAAAAATATAATATTAAGCCAGCAAATAAGATACTGACTCTCTCTCTAAGCTACTAAGAGGTCTGCTTTTATTGAAAGGGTTTGTTGGCTCAAGTAACCCAAGAGACCGTCACACTAAAAATAAACTAAGAGCAGCCTAAAGCAGGTTTACTCGCTAGATTATGGTTGAACGGTTTCTTTGCCATTCTGCATTCAGCTCAGTGAGCACTTTCTGACCTTACAAGTCTTAATCTGGTTACTGGGAACTAAACAGGGATTTTATCGCATTAGTATCTCCTATTTGGAGATCACAGAGATATCTGGTTACTGCAATAATGGATGCTGGACATGTGGACAAAAGAAACAGGAGGACTTCTGACAGAGAAGATAACAGAGATTTCAGGAGACACTGCCCCAATAATCACACCAGTATTAATACATTAACAGCCTGTATTTATTTGGGCTCACACAATACAAGCTACCCAAGACACTACTTTCCTCCGTCAAATAACGTGGGATTCAGGTCTCTTTCTGTGACAGGAGTGCGTACAGGTTAAGCTCCACAGCATTCAAATTTAATGGATTGCAAACTATTTTGTAATAGAATTTGTGAATGATATGGGGAGTGTGACATCATTAACTTTCCTAGAAACACCGGGGACACAATTCACAATTAGTCACAATTACAAAAGGAAATGACATTCAGAGAGTTCAGACTAAATCATATAATACAGTGGTAGAGGGGGAATTTAATGTGGATTATACAGGGTGACCAAAAAGTTGTTATACCATTACAATGTCTAATAAGTCTTAAACAAATGATTTTTTTTTAGATAATAGGGTAGTTATCACCACTTTTTGGTCACCCTATACAACTAAGAAAGCAAGAATGGCACATGTGGATTATGAAGTGTTCCTCAGAACTATATGGCTGAGGATGTTTCACCCAATATATTATGAAAAAAAATGCCCAGGACACTAGTATTACCATTGTGAATTTATTGTGGATGTAGGAGCACTGATCGGTGGAAGACAAACATGCAGCAAACAGAACAGGATTCCGGCTCAATCGAAATTCCATTCAGGAGCTTACTTAGATTTGTCGAGCAGAGACTGTGCATCTCCTCTGCAAAGTGAATGCAGTAGAAAGAGGAAGGATTTGAAAGCGATTTGGTCACCAGGTCACTGCAAAGTCTCTCTGTGCAAATAGGCTGTTCCCCTTTGGTAGCAGCAGCAGCTCAAGACACTGGGGACCAAGTTGAGAGAGTGTGTGCCCTTCAGTGAAAGGCAAATAAATTGCTTTGCTACAAGGAATTTGCAAATGCCACATTGGCGCTCATCTCACTCCACAAATTGGGCGGTTTCCTCCCCCCACCACTCACACATACAGCTCTTTGGTTTGGCAGCAAATAGATCGATTATTAGAATGATCACTTACATTTGTCAATAAGCGCTTGTTTACTGCTTTTTAATCAGTTAACAGCAGCAACAGCAGCATTCTGAATGAAGCAAGGCTGAGAAAGGTAGACGTTAAAGCCAGCATTTGAAATGGGCACCTGCCAGAAAATTTGCTACAGATTGAATCTGGACAATGAAGATTCTGGAGACTAAGTGTTTGGATAAGTTTTTAAAAAAATTAAACAATTGAAACTGCTTTTATAGCAGCCACAAAGATCACCTGTGTCAGTTAGTTTGGGCAAATTATTCCAGTATTTAATCAGTCAGCCATCACAATGATGATACAGTTTCAGTGAGTAATTGATAATTATACCACATCAAAATTTTCTCTGGTCAATGTCCAGCCATTCATCATGTGCCATTCAGGTTTCTTGCAAAAATACACGTGACGAATACCAGACAAATTGTCGCCTCGGGCTGTTCTCAACATGTTCTCTTATGCTAAAATCTATCAGTCATTCTTTAGTTCATCTACTCAATTAGCACGGACCCCCAAAGATTGTTGCTGCACTCATTAATGGCCTATGTATGCACATGAAGCAGTGAACTCAGGTAAGAATGCATGAGAATGACATTGTTAATCAAGCAAACTTAATTCCTCAAAATCGGAGACCTGCTGTTCACAAGCTGCTCCTTACTCAGGTTCATTTTTGATTGAAAAATGAATCCCTTCCCAGGGAACTCGTGTCTCCTGCCCTAAACCAACCCATCCACCCTGCTCCCAGGCCACTCTGGAAAGAGGCAACTTGGTTGGAGGTCAGCAAAGTTCCCAACCAATATGGGGACCTTGTGATCTAAAATTCGTCCTGAGCTGTCAGAAGATTGCTGACTAGCACTTTTATTTGTGCCAAACACAAGGACTAAAAGCCAGCCAGCTGCCTAAATCCTGAAGGATTTGTTCCACCGATTCTCAGATAGAATCGCTGATCTCCTTGTTGGCCCAGTCCAACCAGTTCAATGCTGCACTGAACTATTAGACGGGCCACGAGTTCCAATTTGGGGCTTGAACCCCCAACCTCCTGACCTAGGATGCTATTAACTAAGCCAAGCTGCCTTACAGCTAGTACTGAATAGTTGATTAAAACTCTGAAGCATCTTCAGGATGAAACCAACATTCCATCTCCAAAGCCCAAAAAGCCTCAGTCACAATGTGGCAAAGGCTTAAAGTCCCCCAAAAAATGTTTCAGGAAATCATAATGCAACACAGCAATGGAAGAAAACGAGTATGGAACAGCAGTCGGGAATCAAATGGTTTAAAATAATATCACCTCAATTTTCGTTCCCCATTAAGTACCCAAACCAGCAGCTAGGTTCATTCCAGGAGCATGTGGAAGCGCAGGACAATTTGCGAGTTAAATTTGAACACCAGATGCACCAAAAAGAGCCCGTATAGCTATAATCCTTTACCAAATAACTGGCCCAAAAGAAGATTACATTTCCCACTAAATCAACAGTTAATCACAAAGGCTTCATCGTTGATGCTTCAATTAACCCCAGGGTCAAAAAACTTAAGAAAATGCAACCATTTTTCATCTTTTTGATTAAATCTACATTTAAAATGTTAACGCGAAGCTCAGATCCTGGATAAAATCACAAAATTACCTTCTCCTCCACCACAAAATAGAAATTGCTGTATTGCAGGTTTTAGCGAGTACAGTTTGGAAACAATTACTCAACGTTGTTACTGTGAAAGTAGTTGCAATCTGATGAGGAAACAAAACTTGTGCAGATTGTTTTATTTTCATGCTGGAAGCTCCGATAAACATTTGTCGTGAGGCAAAAACTGCAATACCTTTGCAACATGCCAGGATTCTGGATTTAGGTTGACATAATCCTATGTTGCGCAGATGATGCAAGAATGAATAGGTACTGAATCCTATAGCATTTGATGATAATAATAATAATAATAATAATATTCGATATGGCACCTTATTCTGTCGTTGAGATGTCTCAAAGCGCTTCACAGAATAGATTGTAAAGCGGGAAAAATGCAGCAGCCAATTGCATTTTGAGAAGTAGGGAAATCGTCACATTTTGTACAACAGGACCATGGAGACAAGGCTGGATTCACAAACTGAAAAGGCAACACGTGGGAGCGGGGACTGAACCCCAGCGTCCTGCTCATCCAAGTCCTGCTGACTCACAGCCGGTGTGGCCAGCTCCAAGTTTGATCAATATATTGCAAGTATTGCTAGTCAGGGCTCCCGTATTCATTGTGCATGCGAACTGAGAGACAGACAGCTCTATCGGTGCTTCAAAACATCAGTTAGCGCCAATAATGAAAAGGGACAACTCGGGTATCTTGAGGAAGTGACGTTGGCCACCACCTGATGGCCTAGAAATCAGCCATTTGGGCTACCGAGTCCGGCAGAGCTGCATTTTGAATGTTTTGGGCAAGTAAATCAGGTCCATACCCCAATCGTGCATTATAAGCGAGTAACAATATAAGAAGGTTCTAACAGTAAACAACAGCTTAAATGTCAGGCTTCCGAACTTACTATTCTCTGCCTCTCCCTCCTTTTCCAGCACAAGTGTGCATTAGCAGCTGCCATGGCTTCAATAACAAAGGTTGTCGTCATGTAGCTGTAAAGAGAAAACATTAAGGTTATTTAGGTTTCACAATTATACCATTCTGCATAGAGCGTTAACTGACAAATATAAACTTGGGGGAAAGGTTAACTTTCCCCCCATTTCATTCAAATGGAATTCTGTGAACGACAACAACAATAACATTTTAAAACATTATAAAAACATTGAAGATACATCCAATAACTTAAACAATAATGCAAGTTATTCAAGGTAGTCTTCCTATGCTTGAAGCACGAGGATCCACAAGATGTGTAGCAATAAGAATTCTCCCCCAATAATAATAATAATAATAATAATAATCCTTGCATTTGATATAGCGCTTTTCACGTCGGGAGGACGTCCCAAAGCGCTTCACGGAACACACTGTAAAGTGAATTGACTGTATATTTGTGGGCGAACGCGGCAGCCAATTGCGCACAGCAATGTCCCACAAACAGTCGTAGATTGAAAATGACCAATTTATTATTGTTTTTGGTTTTGGAGGGATTATTATTAGGCGTGTGGAGTAAGGAAACTTGCCCAAGGTTTCGCCCTCTGCCTGGAATTGAACTCAGGTCTCTCGCTTGCAAAGCGAGTGCTCTAACCACTGAGCTACAGGACACCACCAATATATTCTGTAACGCGCTTTGAGACGTTTCAACGACGTCATAAGGCACTATGTCAAATACAAGGATTCTTATTATTATTGTCTTATTGCATCCTCCTAACCCCTGAACAAACTAAAAAAAAGTAATGAAAGAATTTGTTCTGTATTACTATGCTGCCATCTTGTGGCCTTAAGTTCCACCTGCTGTATCAGTAAATGCACATAAGTTAGTAATTGTTTAAACACTTACGCTAGAACTTAATACAAATGCTACTAACTTTTAATACAATGCTATTTGAACCCGTCACATTTACCCTGATATTATATTCCAAGTTTCCTACAGTGCTGAGGCATTGAAGTAAGGGGCACAGGTTCTTCAACACGTACATCACTATTAGAAGAGCACCATTTGTACACTGTACCTTAAGAATGCCAGGAGGATGATGAGAGCAAGACTCACAGCCCATCCAGCGGCAGCAAAAGCCTGTGGCATAGTTAATGCTCCTGTTCCAACAATCAAGTTAAACATGTACACGAGACCCACCTGGAAAAGAAAAAAAGGAAACTTTTGCAGGTATTCGGTCGTGTGATGCTGAGGATATAATCATGGTAATAATGATGGCCCTTCGTTTCCCACGATGGCTGTTCACACAAAAAGTGAACACCTGGGTGTGTGGATTTGTTTATTGTGTAGAAGCTGCCGCCCACCCACACAGCAACCACACTCTTTAGGTAGCAAACAGTGTAACCTGGTGTCAAGGAATATCTGAGAAGGCTAGACCACTTGCTAACCACACAGGCAGAGATCATTACCCCCAAAAGCAATCCGCCAATCGACTAACAATCAGGTTCTTACTTACTGCTGGGTAAGCAGAGGCATGTGGAGTAAGGAAACCTGCCTAAGGTTTTGCTTTGCCCAGAGGAGGGTCTTGAGACAAGTCTTGAAACTCAAGTACTTACATATGGGGAGTAAAGCTCTCCGGCTTCTGTGATCCCACCCGGCATTTTCAGTTCCTAAAGTTGCAGCTTGTAACAGTCCAATGGATTATCTACATTACAGTAAGACAAAAAAGTTTAGTTTCAATTTCACTGGGAAGAGGAGCAACCATAAGTCACCATTTGACCTCATTTCTGGAGTTTCAAAGTAAACTCACTGGATTCTAGTTCACATTTGCCACAATATTTTGCTTATAAACAGGAAGTTATTTTAAGATAAACACCAATGACAATTTAATTTATGCTGCTTGATTTTTGCTACGGTTTTTACAGATTTAAACAAGCAATAATAAAAGCTTAATTGAATAAATTTAAAGAGAATTCTCCCTGCGAGTTCAGGAGGTAAAGAGTACCTTCCTTTGTCAAAGGCAATTCTATGGCTGGGTGGGATATTGTGTTTTAGGGCCACACTTTGAGTATTAGTCAATCCAGTTCCAGTATTGGTTTAAGATTCAGGAACTAGAAAAATGCTGATCTTAAACATTACACAGCAAAATCACATGTTGAAATATTCTGCGTGCACATTCCTGCCAAACTGTGTGTTCACAAACAATCTGCAAATTGGAGAATGAAAAAAACTAAGTGGGATAAATTTAAAGAGACTTCTCCCTTCAGGTTCAGGAAGCGAAGGCTGCCGTTCTTGTCAAAGACAATTCTATGGCTTGTGTGGCATATTATAATAATAATAATCCTTGCAATTGACATAGTTCCTTATCACGTCTTCAAGTCCTTTTAATGCACTTCACAGAACATATTGTAAAGTGAATTGACTGTATATTTTGTGAGCAAAACGTGGCAGCCAATTGCGCACAGCAGTGTCCCACAAACACTTGGGGATTAAGTGACCAAATTATTTTTACTTATTTTTACTTATTTTGAAGGAATTATTACCCCCGGAAAAGCAATCCAAAAGTGTAACAACCAGGTTCCTACTTACTACTAGGTAAACAGAGGTGTGTGGCGTCAGGAAACTTGCCCAACTTTTCGCCCTGCCTGGATAATGTGTTTTAGGGCAGCATTTTGATGCCAAAGTGGTATACCAACAATAACAACAAAATGACATGTGTACAGCACCTTTCACGTCAGGAGGACGTCCCAAGGTGCTGGAGAGTCAGTGTTTCGGACCTGAGCTGGGGTCAGGATTGGGAAGGTGGAGGGCAGGGGGGGGAAGCAAGGCGATCAAAATTAGTCGAAGTGGAGGGTCTTGAGATGGGTCTTGAAGGAGGCAAGGGAGGTTCACTTTACAATATGTTCTGTGAAGTGCTTTAAACGGACTTGAAGACGTGATAAGGAACTATATCAATTGCAAGGATTATTATTATTATAATATGCCACACAAGCCATAGAATTGTCTTTGACAAGGAAAGGCAGACTTCGCTTCCTGAACTTGAAGGGAGAAGTCTCTTTAAATTTATCCCACTTAGTTTTTTTTAAATTACGAGGTGGACACGTAATTCCTAACAGCCCGTTTGCTTCTCCACAAAGGGCTTTTAAAAAACAAATAAATGAAGCGGTGGGGGAGAAAAAAAGAGGCTGAGTGGCCAATCAAGCAATAAATGGTCTCTAAATGCATTGCTGCAGCAGACCAGTCAAGGGCCACAGGCAAAGAGAAAGTGGGCTGCAAATGACTCCTGCATTGTATGCATTAGTCAAATACTTTATCTTCGCTCTAATAATAATAATCCTTGCATTTGATATAGCGCATTTCACGTCTTCGAGACGTCTCAAAGCGCTTCACAGAATATACTGTAAATTGAATTGACTGTATATTTGTGGGCGAATCATAGCAGCCAATTGCTCACAGGAGTGTCCCACAAACAGTCGTGGACTGAGTGACCAAATTATTATTTTTGTATTGTTTTTGTAGCTTGTTTATCCCTGCCCCTTTGTATTATAACCAGAGGATGAACTAGTTATAAAAAGCACCCCACTAGCAGCTGAATGAATCCAAATCAACTTTTCTGGCTGGATGCTATGAGAATGCAGTCTGCTCAAGTCTTCCAAACCTTTGTTACAATGCATTTGAGCACACCACGCAGACAGGACATCTTTTACCGTCTCTCCACAAGTACTCCGCCCCACTTACTAGCACGTTCTAGGAGCTAAACACTGAGTCACCGAGATCAAAGGAGCCACATTTTAAATAAGATAATTAAATCTTTACACTAGAGAATACTGCAAATTCAGGGAATATAAATGATACTCTCATTGATTGCCTGAGTGGACCAACTTGAATGATCACCATGAATAAGTTCATGGTTTTATCACAAGTTGCGCACATCTCTCCTCTCCAAACAAAACCAATCCGAATACTGAAATGTCTCAAAGTATTAAGAACAGTTTAAAGGCACAATATTCTTGAAGGAAGAACACCAGGCAACTATTATGAGGTCATTACCACAGAATACTGTTATGCCATTCTCAGGAGGCCATGAGAGAACAAACAACAGCTGGAAACTGTTGTTGAGAGAGTTAACACGTGAAAAGTTCAAAAGCTTTAGACACTATCCAAGCCTTTGGACCGTTACAGTTTGATTCCTTCGTGAATTGTACTCTCCTTTACTAGTTCAGCAACTCTTTCATCCATTTGGTATGAAATGTCCGTGTGCCAGTCTGCCCAATTGGAGCTGTGGGAATCAAGAGCTAACTTTACATAACTTTTCTATAAAATTACATTTGTATAGCGCCTTTCACATCAGGAGGATGTCCCAAGGCGCTGGATAGTCAGGGATTTGGAACAAACAGGGTGGGAGGGGTGGTGTAGGATCAGGGAGGATGGAGGGCAGGGAGAGTAGGAGGGTGGCCGAGGGCCCAGTCAAAGAGGAGGGTCTTGAAGGAAGCAAGGGAGGGAGCGAGGCAAAGGGAACGTGGGATGGAGTTCCAAAGCGTATAGGGGCAGAATTGACACATACTACAACAACTTAGTTTCCTTCACAGGCGGTAGGGTATCTGAGCTACTACCTTGGTCTCTTGCAGTAGCAATACTGTACATCATTGCAGCACAGAGGAACCACCAACTAACACAACCACTAGCTTTATTTACAAAGAAATCCAATTGCAAAGATGTACGACAAGACTGATTCCACAGAGCGCAAACATTAAAGTAATAAAAAAAATCTTGTGGGGTTAATTACGCTCCTTTTTGTAAATGTCACTTGCTTCAGGCTTATGCAGGAATACTGAGGCCAAGTCAATTTTCTTGGAATTGTCTTTCTTTCATTTAAGAGTTTGAAAAATTACAAACAACTGCCTTCTACGAGAAATTGCTGTTAAGCATGTGTTAGCATCTGTCAAACAAATAGGCTTGCTGTTTAAAAACCTGTGCTTAAAAAAAATCAGATTGGGCAAGTTTCCTTGCTCCACACGCCTCTGCTTACCTTGCAGTAAGTAGGAACCCAGTTGCTAGTCGATTGGCGGATTGCTTTTCCGGGGGTAATAATTCCTTCAAAATAAATAAAAATAATTTGGTCAATCAATCCACGACTGTTTGTGGGACGCTGCTGTGCGCAATTAGCTGCTGTGTTTTGCCCACAAAATATAGTCAATTCACTTTACGTATATCCTGTGAAGCGCTTTGAGACGTCTCGAAGACGTGATAAGGCGCAATGTCAAATGCAAGTATTATTATTAACTACAAGTTAATTTTTTGTTCGCCAACCACTGTACCACTAACTCACCTTGTACAATAGTAAAGCACATTATATCCCCCCCCCACCAACATCAATCTGGGCTCATTCACGAATGGCATGAATGTCACTTTTATAATACTAACTTCCTGGCCCATTTCTGCATGAAACCCATAATGAAACAGTCCAAATTTCCAGTCGTTAAACTTAAAAGCAGCATTAAAACAGCATTATACCTTAAACAATAATGAACAACACCTATGCTTTCAGAATTAAGGCATTGAAGCAAGCCATTTAATAATCAAGAAACTAATAGTTGCTTTGAATAATATTACAGAAGTCACAGGTCCAACACCTAGCCCAGTCCCTCGCTGGCTTTTATATACACATCAGTTACAGGAATTACTTAACCGCTTCATAAACAAACCAGGACAAACACTTAGTTGTCAATTTCAGAAGCATCAAAGGCGACTTTGTCTTTACAGACTTTATTAGCCTCCAAAAAACAACCCACACATTATTCTGTTAACGTTTTTTTAGCCTTCAAATCTGCTGCCAGACAGAAGCAAAGTATTCCCTTGCAATCGCTGATTATTTATTTATCTTTCTCTCCTGGATCACCTTTAGATTTACTGGCACTGAAACCTATTAACACTAACTTGAATTATAGCAATATATCCCCAAGACTTGATTGCTTTTTTTGTCTTTCCCTCTTTCCCAGGATCTTTGCCATCTGGCCATGTCCTACTCAAGTCTCTCTGCCTCTCCCTCCTCCTATGTACAGGGACATCTCTCTTCCCCCACATATGTGCGTGACTGTTGTCACTCGCTGTGCCTCCTTGCGTCTGTCACTTTCTCTCTCTGTACGCGTGTGTCTCTATCCCTGTCAGTCAGTTCTCATGTGTGCGTATCCCTCGGTCCCTGTGTGTGCGCGTGAGACTCTGTCCCTGCGCATGTGAATGTGTCTCTGTCCCTGTGTGTGTGTGTGTGTGCGTGTCTGTCCCTGCGTGTGTGTGTGTTGGTCCCTGTATGTCCCTGTCCCTCCGTGTCTCTGTATCTGTGTGTCCTGTATGTCCCTGTCCTTGTATGTCCCTGTGTGTGTGTGTGTCTATCCTTGTTTGTTCCTGTGTGTGTCCCAGGCCCTGTGTGCGTGTCCCAGGCCCTGTGTGCGTGTCCCAGTCCCTGTGTGTATGTCCTTGTATGTGTGTGTTTGTGTGTGTGTCCGTGTGTGTTTGTGTCCATGTGTATGTCCTTGTGTATGTGCGTCCCTATGCGTGTGTGTGTCCGTGTGTGTGTTCCTGTGTGTGTGTGTCTGTATCCCAGTGTGTGTGTGTCCCTGTCCCTGTGTGTGTGTCCCTGTGTGCGTGTCTCTGTCCCTGTGTGTGTGTTGGTCCCTGTCCCTCCGTGCCCTGTGTGTGCCTGTATCTGTGTGTCCTGTATGTCCCTGTCCTTGTATGTCCCTCTGTGTGTGTGTGTGTGTGGCCCTGTGTGTGTGGCCCTGTGCGCGTGTCCCAGTCCATGAGTGCGTGTCCCAGTCCCTGTGCGCGTGTCCCAGTCCCTGTGCGCGTGTCCCAGTCCCTGTGTGTGTGTCCCTTTGTGTGTATGTCCCTGTATGTGTGTGTACCTGTGTGTGTGTCCCTGTGAGTCCTTGTGTGTATGTGTGTGTCCTTGTGTGTATGTCCCTATGTGTGTGTATGTGTCCCTGTGTGTGTCCGTGTGTGTGTCCCTGTGTGTGTCCGTGTGTGTGTGTGCGTCCCTGTGTGTGTGTGTCCCTGTGTATGTGTGTCCCTCCGTGTGTGTGTCCCCCTGTGTATGTGTCCCCCCGTGTGTGTGTCCCTGTGTATGTGTGTATCCCCCACTGTGTGTGTGTGTCCTTCTGTGTGTGTCCCTGTGTGTGTGTGTCCCCGTGTGTGTGTGTCCCCCCCCGTGTGTGTGTGTCCCCGTGTGTGTCCCCGTGTGTGTGTGTCCCCCTGTGGTGTGTCCCCCGTGTGTGTGTCCCCCCCCGTGTGTGTGTCCCCCTGTGTCCCCCCGTGTGTGTGTGTCTCCCCCCCGTGGGCCCCGTCGTGTGTGTGTCCCCCGTGTGTGTCCCGTGTGTGTCCCCCTGTGTGTGTCCCCCCCCCATGTGTGTGTGTCCCCCTGTGTGTGTGTCCCTCTGCATGTGTCCCCCTGTGTGTGTGTCCCCCCCCCGTATGTGTGTGTATCCCCCTATGTGTGTGTGTTTACCCCCCCTGTGTGTGTGTGTCTCCCCCCCCCGTGTGTGTGTGTGTCCCCGTGTGTGTGTCCCTGTGCGTGTGTCGTCGTCCCCGTGTGTGTGTCTCCCCCCCCATGTGTGTGTCCCCCCCCATGTGTGTGTCCCCCCGTGTGTGTCCCTCTGTGTCCCCCCGTGTGTGTGTGTCTCCCCCCCCTGTGTGTGTCCCCCCCCGTGTGTGTCCCCTGTGTGTGTGTGTGTCTCTGCGTGTGTGTCCCTGTGTGTGTGTGTGTGTCCCCCCCGTATGTGTGTGTGTCCCCCTATGTGTGTGTGTGTCTACCTGTGTGTGTGTGTCTCCCCCCGTGTGTGTGTTGTCCCTGTGCCGTCGTCCCCGTGTGTGTGTCTCCCCCCCCGTGTGTGTGTCCCCTGTGTGTGTGTGTCCTCCTGTGTATGTGTGTCCCGTGTGTGTGTGTCCTCCTGTGTATGTGTGTCCCGTGTGTGTGTGTCCTCCTGTGTATGTGTGTCCCCCGTGTGTGTGTGTGTGTGTGTGTCCCTGTGTATGTGTGACCCCCCTGTGTGCCCCTCTGTGTGTCCCTCTGTATGTGTGTCCCCCCCCCTGTGTGTGTGTGTGTGTCCCTATGTGTGTGTGTGTGTGTCTACCCCCCCCGTGTGTGTGTGTATCTCTCCCCCCCCGTGTGTGTGTGTCCCCGTGTGTGTGTGTGTGTCCCTGTGCGTGTGTGTCCCTGTGCGTGTGTCGTCGTCCCCGTGTGTGTGTCTCCCCCCCGTGTGTGTGTGTGTCCCCTGTGTGTGTGTCCCTGTGTGTGTGTGTCCCGTGTGTGTCCCCTGTGTGTGTGTATGTGTGTGTCCCCCTGTGTGTGTGCGTGTGTGTCCCCCTGTGTGTGTCTCCCCCTGTGTGTGCTGTGCCCCCCCTCCTCCCCACCCCGTGTGGGGGTGTGTCCCTGTATGGGTGTGTGTGTGTGTCCCCCGGTGTGGGGTTGTATTGGGTACCTGTGTAGGGGTGTGTCTGTGTATGTGTGTCCCCCGGTGGGGGGTGTATTGGGTACCTGTGTAGGGGTGTGTGTGTGTGTGTGTGTGCGCCCCGGTGTGGGGGGTGTATTGGGTACCTGTGTAGGGGTGTGTGTGTGTGTCCCGGTGGGGGGTGTATTGGGTACCTGTGTGTGTGGGGGGGTGTGTCCCCCGGTGTGTGTGTGTGGGGGTGTGTGTCCCTGTGTGTGTGGGGGTGTGTGTCCTCCCGGTGTGGGGGGTGGGGGGTGTATCGGGTACCTGTGTGTGTGTGTGTGTGTGGGGGGGGGGGGGGGTACCTGTGTGAGGGTGTGTGTGTGGGGGGGGGGTGTGTCCCCCGGTGTGGGGGGTGGGGATGTATCGGGTACCTGTGTGTGTGTGTGGGGGGGGTGTGTCCCGGTGTGGGGGTGTGTGTGTGGGGGGGGGTGGGGGGTGTATCGGGTACCTGTGTGTGTGGGGGGGGTGGGTGTGTGTGTGTGTGGGGGGTGTGGGGGGGGGGGGTGTGTCCCGATGTGGGGGGTGGGGGGTGTATCGGGTACCTGTGTGTGGGGGTGGGGGGGGGTGGGGGGTGTATCGGGTACCTCTGTGTGGGGGGGGGGGGGGTGTGGGGGGGGGGGTGGGGGGTGTATCGGGTACCTGTGTGTGGGGGGGGGTGTGGGGGGTGTCCCCCGGTGTGGGGGGTGGGGGGTGTATCGGGTACCTGTGTGTGTGGGGGGGGGGGTGTCCCGGTGTGGGGGGGTGGGGGGTGGGGTGGGGGGTGTATCGGGTACCTGTGTGTGGGGGGGGGGTGTGGGGGGTGTCCCCGGTGTGGGGGGGGTGGGGGTGGGGGTGTATCGGGTACCTGTGTGTGTGTGTGTGTGGGGGGGGGGTGTGTCGGTGTGTGGGGGGGTGTGGGGGGTGTATCGGGTACCTGTGTGTGGGGGGGGTGTGTGGGGGGTGGGGGGTGTATCGGGTACCTGGGCCGCGGCAGTTGGCGGCGCCGCTTGTCGCCGGGCGGGAGGGAGGGCGGGAGGAGGGGCTAATTTAAAGGCGCGGTATGCGCGTGCGCCGCTCTCCACCCACTCACAGGCGGCCAGCGGGTCACGTGCCGCAACCTCACCTCGGGGGGGGGCGGGGCCCCGCCCCCGGACACCACGTGATGTACCAGCTGTGCCGCTGCAACAACTGAGCCCTGAGGCAGCAATGATCAGTGGCTGTGACTGTATCCACTCCATCATTCACCTGCAAAATACAACAACAACAACAACAACAACCACCACCACCACCACCGGCCCAGTTCACTGTACGGCGTATCCTGTGAAGCGCTCTGAGACGTCTCCCAAGACGCCATAAGGCGCTGTATCAAATGCACTGATTATTATTATTATTATTATAACTTGAACGTACACTTCTAACAACACATTGTGACCGTTCCCGCATCGTCCGGGTCCCCAGACGCACCTTTTCCTCTCCCTGATCTGCCTTTTTTTGTTGCCAGTTCCTTCCCACCCACCCATTTTGTTCTGCAGTATTAACACCTCTATTCCCCTGCTTTGTTGCAATCCCCCCGCCCCCCACACTTTGTTTTGCATCATTAACACCTCTTTGACCCATCATCCCCTGTCCTCTACCCCATTTTTCTCTTTTGTCTTCCTTGCCCTGCCTCCCCCCCCCCCCCCCCTCTGTTACCCGTTAAAAACCTCTCCCTCCCAACATGCCCCCATTCTGACAAAGGGTCGTGGACCCGAAACATTGACTCACTTTCCTTTCTCCATAGATGCTGCCTGACCTGCTGAGTGGTCCCAGCGACTTCTGTTTCTGTTTATTAATTTAAAGTAGCTTGAGTTGAAGATGAATGGTCCTTTTAGGCTGAAGGTAGTTTAGCAGTTAGAACGGAGCTTTTACTCTAGAGGTTACCTGGGGCACTGCTATATTCAAATTGGCTGTTACGTTCACCCACAAGATAATAATATAAATCCTTGCATTTGATATAGCGTTTTTGACGTCTTCTCGACATCTCAAAGTGCTTCACAGAATATACTGTAAAGTAAATTGACTGTATATTTGTGGGCAAAATGCAGCAGCCCATTGCGCACAGCAGTGTCCCACAAACAGTCGTGGATTGAAATTAACAATTCATTATGTTTTTTTCAGGGGTTATTATTAGGCGTGTGGAGTAAGGAAACTTGTCCAAGGTTTCACCCTATCGGGAATCGAACCCAGGTCTCTCGCTTGCAAAGCGAGTGCTCTGACCAGAGCTACAGGACTCCACAAGATATATAGTCACTTCAATTTACAGCACACTGCCACGTTTCACCCACAAAATATACACTTTGAAGAGTATTATGTGAAGCATTTTGTGACGCCTCAAAGACATGAGAAGACGTTATATCAAATGCAAGGATTACTATTATTATAAACTGTGAAAAGCTTTGAGACACCGTTCTGACCTGAAAAGCACTGTTATCAAATGTATATGTACAGTATTACCCTCAAAGCAGTGCTTTGTATTAACCTTCTTACCGATACATTCACAGTCACTAAATTCGGCAATATCTACTGATTTGAGACATTTCAATGCTATTAAAAATGTTACTTTTGTGGCTGTTTTACCAATTACCAATATTCCATATGAGTTGTTGGACAGAGGAACATTCCACAGCCAGTTTCAAACAGCCTTCCATTATTATTATTATTATTATTATTCCATTATTGGGGGATAGTGTTATTGGCAGGTTTATCCTTAATTGATGAGCACAGGTGAGCTCCTCAGCAAACATACACACAAATGCTTTCCTGCAGGTTTTTGCTGCATCACACATTCAGGTATAGGAATCTTGGCCATTTTCTTTCCTTTATTCCCTAGAAAGCCTGAGGACAGTTGGAGTGTTTCATTTCAGATTGATGTAATGAACTACTTAAAACCCTGTTGATTTTTAAGCTACTGTATGCACTGCTGTTTTAGGCAACAGTAGTTAAATTGGCACACAAAATGCAAAAAAAGACATTTAATATTCTGTTGTATGAGACTGTCTACCTTAAGAGTAGACCCAAGAAGTCAACTTCAGTCAACACACATCCATTTTCACAAGATGTGGCTTTTAGCTGGCAGTAAATAACATCAAGATCAATAAATATTAAAGGTTTCTTTACTTAATCCTTATTTTGGGAAAATAAACATGAAAAACAGGATATTTTATTGTACAGGATACAATAAACCTTGATAATAACAGAGCAGTAACTCGAAAACTTACAACTTAAATTATTTACAAAATAGAAGTCTCTTGGGTGTAATGATTCAGTAAACAGTACTTGCTGCTTATGTGTAGTTCATAAACCTATGGTTTAGTAATGATTCTGTAATATTGTAAAATAAAAAATTCTGCAAAAAAAAGCATGAAACAAGAAACTTAAATTACAACAATTGAACAAACAATGATGATAACAGGCTTGGTCAGACTTGCTTCATTTATAATGGAGTATTCAAGAGGTCACCACGGTCTCTGCATTACCGAATGCCAATTTCCAGCCTGACAATGCTCTGACCTTTCTGGGATTATGGGACAGACACATCTGGGTCAAAGTACCTGGACGCCTTTTCTTTTAATATTACCTTATTATCCATGATACGGAAGACGACGACAGTTTGGTTTATGGAGATAAGATTTGGGGGAATAGTTAGTAAGGAGAAATTAGTTCCTCCCACACACCACGCCAACAGGCATCATTTATGCATCATACAACTGCAGCCAGTTTAGAAATGGAGTTCTTAAAATAATTTACAGGATGTTAAACCAGCCTAACAGTTTAAATCACCTCGCTGCTACTCCAGTGCCCTCAAACTACAAGTTTCCAATCTTATCTTTGTCAGGGCGTGAGCAGTAGGCGTCAGATGATGACAGTGTTTCTTGACCGTGAAGGTGAGTGAGTTGCTCACATAACTGAGCAGCCAGTTATAAGGTATCTGAAAGTTGACTCAGAAGTACTGTAACCAAGTGTATTTAGCAACTCACAAAATACCCTATTTAATCATCTCATAAGCAAATAGTCCGAGACCCATTATGTTTTCTTTCATTGAAAATGCAAATTTCGATAGTTAAGATTCAATATTTTTCCAGGTCTTGCAAGATAAATCTAAGTCTTTTCTCTTCTGCATTGGCCAGGATTTATGAATGTCCTGTCTTGGCCCAGCAAGTTGCCTAAAGTGACACTGCTGATAAAAGCAGTGGGTCATTGCACTGATGTACTAATACACTATGGGGTTGAAGTACCACTCAAGTTTAGATTTACACCACCCTTGCAATTTCAGAGCATCCACAGTTTGATACATTCTTAAAACACATCGTGAAGCCGGTGGTTCAGTTCCTGCAAATTATTTTAAAAACTACAGGAAACGGGCACCCAACGCAAGACTGATTCAGCAATCTGCCAAATTCTGCAGGCTCTCAAATGCCAAGAAAGTAGAGCAAGTCTGGAGCTTTCACCCCATCTGTGGTGCTGCAATTTGACCTTGACAGTGCTATGGGGAATTTTTTTGTGTGAAAACAATGGTCTTTATTTTCAATAGATGTATCTATCATAATGGGTTTCAGGTAGAAATAGCTAACATTAGAAAGTTTAAAATATCTTCAAACAATGTTCCATTCAAACTATTACAAGAAGATCTCAGGTTGCATATTGCTTTAAAGAAGTCACAGAATGCTGCAGAATGTCCTTTCTGTATAAGCAGGGTATCACCTCTCAATGGTAAATCTATAGATGTGTTCAGATTACTTGCTGCAGTTGAGATTAGAAATCCATGGAGCTGTGTGCCAGATAGTCCTTGCGGCCAATGTTGCTGACCTGCTTTGTCTGCATAGCCTCAAGTTTTGGACAGTCCGTAATGCGATGGCCCAAACCACCACAGAAAGTGCAGCCTCTTTCACCTGAAAGAAAAACATGTCATTTAAATATAAGCGCAAAGCAGTAACAGGTTTTTGATTTTTGACAAACATGATTTCGCAAACTCCAAAAGAGGCTCCACGAACCTCATCGCCTTCTGTATTAGTGTCACTCCCGCACAAAATACACTACTTCATAGAAATTTGTGCATGAAAAAGGAAATCACCAGCAACCTTATTAAAATGTCCAACTACTAGAAATAATTAGAAGCCTCGAGCCGTTCAATCTCTCCTCATAAATTAATCGTCTCCAATGAAGGAGCTCTCACAGTAGATGTACAAGTTACATACCTTCAATGTCCAGCATGGTCTCATCACCGGTTTGAAGGACCTGTAAAACAGGCGGAACCTTCTGCTTAGCTTCCAACAGCAGTGCCTTCAGATCCATCAACACGGACTCATCTGCAAAGAAAAAGGTTGTTAGGAAACCTCTGGAGAGCAGGGAGATTTCCTGCAAGCAACTCTCATCAAATAATAATCACACTACAACTGCTCGGAGAAGAAGATTCCAATTCTGGTGTTTATAACTTTGGTATTCTGATTTCATAGGTAATTCCCTGGTTGGTTTTGCACAAAATGCGAATGAACCTTGCAAAAGTATTCCTACTTTCTTTTGTTATCCATATTTTGAAAATGTTGCCCTCTTGAATTTTTATACACGGCAGAATAATCTCCCCGAATCCACATTTTACAAAGTCTTGAGAATCTTAAATACTTCTATCATGTACCCCTCAGTTTTCTCTGTTCAAGAAAGAAATGTTCCAAGACAGCCTACATGATTCCATGACAGCCCCATGATTCTAAGTTCTGAAATTAATGCATTGATCTTGACATCTTTGACTCTACATAACACAGTTTTACTGGGGAGCTTGTATAACACACACACACACACACAATGCATTTTGTTATATTGCACATGGTCTCAATAGTGACATTTCTTACCGCAGGCTTTATTGATGAATGTAGTGGCTATTCCAGTTTTCCCTGATCGACCAGTACGTCCAATTCTGTGAACTGAATTGAGTATAATATATACATTAGAAACATTAGGAAAATACAGTGCAGCCCTGTCATATGGCAGTAGTTGAGATGCACAGATCCCAATCCGCTTTGCAATGGGGTCCCGATAGCCAGTCACAGCTTCTGCATTCACTGTCCATAATAAGCTCAGCTGGTTGGCTCAAGAAATGTCCAGTTTATGGGTCATCAGATTAAAAGGGTGATAAAGACCAGGACACTGGACTCACTGGACTTGGGAGAGAATTTTAGTTTTAGAAGATCACATAGTTAAATGGTGATGGAATATATAATCACACCAACAGCAATGTAAACATTTTCAGATACAACTAACTACAAATGAACTCATCCCCATCTCCACTAGGCTTTCTTACCATAATTCTCAATCTCCTCAGGCATATCGTAGTTAATAACATGTTGAATATTTGGGAAGTCCAGCCCTTTAGATGCTACATCAGTTGCCACAAGAACATCCTTATTCCCCTCTCGAAAAGCTTCAATTGCCTTAGTTCGCTCCTCTTGGTCTAGAAAAATAATCACATTACAATTGAGTGCAAAAACATAATTTTTTTAATATAAATCTGCTGCTCTGTGCTGCTTGAATCACAAGGTAATAAATTCCCAGTCGCTGTCCCTCATCCATTTATCCCGGGATACTAAACTGTAAAGCGCTCTGAGATGCCGTCAGGTGTGGAAGGCGCTATATAAATCCAAGTTGTTCTTGTTATATCACTTGCTTACCTTTTCCTCCATGTATAGCGACAGCTTCCACACCCTTTAACAGCAGGTATTCGTGTATAGCATCCACATCAGCCTTCTTCTCAGCAAATATCAGCACCTGGAAGTTAGATGAAGCACAGATATTAATATTTACCTTGTCTTTTGATGGAACTATCTGAAAGATTAAAAGCTTAATTCCTCAGTTAAATGCTGAATACTGCCAGCATTCATCAGGATTCCCTCCTGCAATCACTTCTCGTCCACTCACCTCACAGCTGAGACTAATTTACTCTTACCCAACATCCACCGAGACACACATCTTCAGCAGGAATGTCTTGATAGCAATTACTTTCTCTGAACTTTATATCCTTAACTCAGACTTATTGAGGTCAATTTTGGAGGCTCAACTACTGCCCAGCTGAAATCAGCACAAACCATATTGGAATCTATAAATTGTTTAGTTTATTGCTGCCTTTACTCACTAAGCCATTGAGGAAACTCTTATACACTGATTATTGATTGCTAATTTAGTAAAGAGACTGCATTTCATAGACAACATTGCACAATAAATACTGGAATGAGACTGAAAAGACATTTACCGGAGGCGGAGTCTTCTGTAGACACTCCAACAGGTAAACCATTTTTGCTTCTTCTTTTACGTATTCAACTTCCTGAACACAAATCGGGAAAAACAGTCAATTAATTTACACAACATTCTGGAGGAAAAGTATCATCAAGGTTAACCAAAAGGCATATTTAAATGAAAATTCACTTAAGTTCTTACTTAACTTTTACTCCTCTTACCACACCCCCACCACTGAAAAATAAATCAGCTCATAATAATGGAGAAAGTACCACCCTGATATTTCCATTTCCCAATCTCTGTTTTCAAAAGCATCAAGGTACCAAAGTTCCCAATCAACATTACTTGTAAGTTTTCCAAAATTTCTCTTTTGAAAGCTTATCAGGAGATGTGGTTTCTGAGTGACATTGACTGAGAGAAGTATAGTATTTTACAGCATTTCCCTGGAGAACTATTTCAACCTCTTCACTGGCAGACTTGACAGTCATAAATTCCGCAAAAGATTTGGAGGGAACCAGACATCTGAGCTGTCCATCCCGCAGTTCCTCTGCCTCACCCACTCCCTTGCTACCTTTACGACCCCTCTCAAGGCCCTCTTCTTCGACCATGCTTTCGATCTCCCAGCTTCCCCCCACTGCACCCCGCTCTCCCCGACGCCAACCCCCAGCGCGGGTCCGTAACTCTGTCTGTCCAGGGTCTTGGGACGTCCACCCGACGTGAAAGGAGCTATACCAATGTAATTTTGTTGTTGTTGTTGAGCTGCCAGTGCTCTGAACCAAGGGGATTCTATACGTACACAACCGATCTGCAATTGCTGTACGAATTTTAACCTGTGCTCACTTACCTGGATCACATCAAGACTTGCAGCTCCAGCACGGCCAACGTTAATGGTAATAGGTTTCACCAGGGCACTCTTGGCAAAGTTCTGAATCTTTTTCGGCATGGTCGCACTAAACAGGAGAGTCTGCCGTTGTCCCTGTGCAAAATTAATAATAATAATCCTTGCATTTAACATAGCATTTTTCACATCTTCTAAACGTCTCAAAGCCCTTCACAGAATAGACTGTAAAGTGAATTGACTGTATATTTGTGGGCGAAGCGTGGCAGCCAATTGCACACAGCAGTGTCCCACAAACCGTCGTGGATTGAAATGACCGATTTATTATTGTTTTTCTTTTGAGGGATTATTATCAGGCATGTGGAATAAGGGAATCGAACCCAGGTCTCTCGCTTGCAAAGCGGGTGCTCTAACCACTGAGCTACAGGACTCCACTGTAGTTGAAGGAGAGTATGAGGTGAGTGGACTGCTATGATTCTACCAGAAGGCAGCCATTGCCCAAGCAATGGTAATCAAGCCCAAGACATTGCCCTCAGGAGACATAGGGAGAAACGTCAAAGGCAAGCAGTAAGGCGAGTGAGGCATGCACCTTTGTGAGTAAATGTAGGTCACTGACACAAGCTCTGTGGACTCGTGTTCAACAGTTTTAATTTCCGCATGATGTTCAAAACAACTCATTTGTACCAATGCAAGTCTCTTGATAGTTTTGTCTGTTACAAGCTTAAAAAACACAATTACAGCTTCACAAGCCCTACACATATCCCCCTGCATGCACTCAAGTAAACTGGTACCTTGAAATAGGAGAAGATTGTGCGGATGTCCTCCTCAAATCCCATATCAATCATTCTGTCAGCCTCATCGAGTGACAGGTAGCGGCAGATGTCCAAGCTAACCATCTTTTTCTGCAGGAGATCCATCAAACGGCCCGGAGTGGCAACCATCATGTGCACACCGCTGCAGAGATCACCAACAACATGTTTACACTAGTATAGCGCCCTTCACGCTCCTTGACCAACATCCCACCGATACAGAACGCGCAGCGAAGCTGAGGAGACCAATCCTCTCCCAACATTCTGCAGTAATAGTCAATAATATCGAGACGTCTCGAGGCTCAATGGGGAAATAACACAGCACATTTAAATGACAATTCAACAACTTGCATATATATAGTGTCCTTCACGTCGGACGGCATCTCGGGAGCGCTAGATTTAGTTCTTACTTAGCAATCTTTATTTTTCCTCCGGCCAACATACGTCAGCTCACCGCATCTACAATGATAATAATAATACTTGCATTTGATATAGCCCGTATCACATCTTCGAGACATCTCAGTGCCTAACAGAATGCACTGCAAAGTGAATTGATTATATTTTTGTGGGCGAAACGCAGCAGCCAACTGCGCCCAGCAGCGTCCCACAAACAGTCGTGGATTGAGTGACCACGATGTAGAAAGCGCCAATCAAACATTTCTATTTTCCGATCCTGTTTTTGAAAGGGTCTCAGAGAAAGATTGTTGGATCGTTGGCAAACATTCTTTTGATTTCAAGCTGGGTGACTCTTCCTCGGCCACCTTCAAATGCTATTCTGCGCGTGTGAACCTAATAATCAGTGTCAGCCGGCTGTTCAACAATGGTAGGCATCACAGTTGAGAGTGTAAGATACCACGGGTATGACACATTTCCAAAGGTAAATGCAGGAGGAGTTGAGAAGAGACTATTTCGCCCATAAAATATACAGTCAATTCACTTTACAGTATATTCTGTGAAGCGCTTTGAGACGTCTCGATAAGGTGCTATATAAATGCAAGGATTATTATTATTATTATTCTGCTTTTGGCTGGGTCCATTATTCTGCATAAACTTGTATAGGTTTAACAACTATTATATGGCAATGAAACATTCACTCAGTTGTGTTTTCTTTAAGCAGTTCATGCAATGGAAGGATTCAAACCCAATTGCTCAAACAGCACCTACCGTTTGACAACCTCCATCTGCTCCTTGACTGACATACCACCGATACAGAGCGCGCAGCGAAGCTGAGGAGACCCGTCCTCTTCCAACAGTCTGCAGTAATAGTCAATAATACCGTGAGTCTGTCTCGCCAACTCTCTCTGCACAGATGGAAAATCCACTGGTTACATCAGACTGTGATCAACCCACAAACACACTGCGATTCGAAAAGCGTAATTCCAATAGCGTCTAATCTACAATCTCAGATGGGAGTGATTTTGAGCTGCAAACAACAACAACAAAATTATATTTATAGAGCGTCTTTCATGTTGGGAGGACGTCCCAAAGCGCTGAACAGTCAGGTGTCGGGGCCCAAGCATGGGGGAGAGGTGGTGTTGGGGTGAGGGAAGGCAAAGCGGTGGGAGGGAGACCAAAGGGACGGTCAAAGAGAAAGGTCTTGAGACCGGCCTTGAAGGAGCCAAGGGAGGAAGCGAGGCCAAGGGACCGTGGGATGGAGTTCTAGAGTGTGGGGGCAGAGAGGCTGAAAGCCCGGCCACCCATGGGAGGGCGGGTCGGGCAGCAGATATGGAGCAGACCGGAGCCTGCTGAACGGAGGGAGTGAGCAGGTTGGTAGGCAGTCAGCAGGTCAGAGAAGTATGGATGGCCTTGAAAGTGAGGACGAGGATCTTGAACTCAATCCTCTGGGGGATGGGGAGCCAGTGAAGTCGGGCGAGGGTGGGAGTGATTGGGTCACGGAGCTACAGAGTTTTGGATGATCTGCAGCCTTCGAAGGGAAGGCCGATGAGGAGGGAGTTTCCGTAATCGAAAGGTCAACAAGCACTATGACGGGTCAAATAGTGAAATCAGTTTTACGTCCACAAGAATTCTTAAGATTTAAACCAGCTCAAAGCTCTCCCTGTAAATTAAGACTTTGTAGTTTCCTAAACCACAATCCTCGGACTGTTTATTTTAATTGTTATATTCTGTATTTTTATTGTTATAATTATATAAATAACTATTTTGGCTCTGTATGGATATTCCTTCCATTATTAAGTACAAATAAAAGCAAGGCGGTTAATAATCAGTATATGCAGATGTAATTAGTAGAATTGTACTTACAGATGGACAAATGATAAGCCCATAAGGACCTTCTCTTTTGGAGAATGGCAACCTCTTCTCCTGTTCCAAGCAGAACATTATCATGGGCAGGGTGAACACAAGTGTCTTCCCAGAGCCAGTAAACGCAATGCCAATCATGTCTCTGCCTGCCAACCTGCAATATACAAGCTTATGAGAATATTCAACACAATCTCAACAAATAAGTCACTGATTCTCTCCTTGTACTAATGAGTTGGGTTTCTGCTCTATTACAGACCTTCACCATTTCCTGTAGTGATTCTTCAGTGAGCTTATCACTCGCTACGCTAAGAATTTTGACGTTAATTCAGTAAAAATGCCTTTCACGTCAGGAGGACGTCCCAAGGCAGTGGACAATCAGTGCTTTGGATCCAAGCTGGGGGTGGGGAAAGGAGGGTGACCGAAAGTACGGTCATATATAAACAGAACAGAAACAAAACTCTCGGATTGGCACAAATGATGTGGGAGTAGCTTATGAGACCTAAACCTGCAACACACAAATAAACTACGAATGAACTCTTCGGCACACATACAAATCCGAGTGTGAAGTATAAATATAAAGAACGGAGAGTAGAGAGTGCACAGGTCACCAGCAGACAAGAGCACATAAATAGGACTTACACAGTAGGAATTCCCTGGATCTGAATGGGTGTCGGATGTAAAATCCCCTTCTTCTTCAGTCCTTTCAAAATTGCTGGAAAGAGAAATAGTGCTCACATGTTACATGCAATAGGGAATCCCCGATTCACAGTAATATTAGAAACAAGTTTATTGCGCATACTCATTAGCATCATTATCACTGTGAAGCTTTAAGTCAGAACAGAGAATGGTCGGATGCCCATACTCGTATTACTCTGGGGAGAAGCTAATCACAGACCATTTAAGCATTTTCTCTCTTCTCACACACAGACACACACACACACACACACACACACACAGCTAACCTCTTCATGGGGGAGGGAGAACACGCAGTTCTCTCTCCCACCCAACTGAAGGAAAGGAAAATAGGAACAGGAGTAGGCCATCCAACCCCTCGAGCCTGTTCCGCCATTCTATTAGTTCAAGGCTGAAGCAGGATGTACAGTTTGTTCTCACACACCTGCTGGAAACTTCATTTCCTTGAAATGTTTCACGGGGCATGGCAATCCTTCTCCCTCCACTAGAATGTGGTACTTTTTCCGCACTCGCTCATTCCGAGCTTCAGGCATGCTGCGGATGTAGCGAGGCGGTGCCCAACTGCAAAAGAGAATGTTTTAAATTCAGTCGTTAGCTCAGCCGATACCAAGATCAATTACTATCCACAGATCTTTCCCCCCCCTCACCGTACGGTAGGAATCGCTATAGGCTGATGCAGATTTAAACTTTAATTCACCGGCGATAATCAGTTCTACTCTTAATCCAAATGCTCAAAGTTTAGAGGTTTTTCCAGTTCCTCAGACATCTTGCTATGCAGAGAACGTCAGGAAAGGCGCACACTCACCTAGTTTTGATTGGGTCATCGTAGGTTATACCCTTTGCCATTTCTTTCACAGACATCAGAGCTATAAGAGAGATATACAACAGAACTATTACTCCAGATTTGTGCTAACTCATTATTCCACATCATTTCAGAAGTGTAGAGCCAGTGTCTGGCTGACGGGACCGTGGGCTAGCCTTGGATAACCGCTCACTGTTGCACACACCAGGTCTGAGTAAGGATAATTTAGAGGCCAACCAAAAGTATCGAGACATCCTTTCCAAACCCCTCACAAAGTTCACGCTTTCGCCCCCTGGGAAACATTTGGCTTTACTGGCAACCATGTTCCCTCATCCACGGTTTCAATTCGATTATAGTATTCTCTATTTCATCTTAATCTTAAATCTCTCCAATATGTGTGCCATCTCTTTTGTTTTTCTTACTTTACGTAGACCCAGCAGGACTGGGTGAAACATTGTGCAGCAGAAATTCTACAGCAAATATCCACAGAAAGGGACGCTCCATGCTGCAAAAACACGCTGAATGGTCAGAATGTTACCAAAAATCGCAATAATGGGTTGTTACTGCCAACCTGTTACAAAAAAAGTCAACACAAGTACAGACAGACTGATAAAAGGAGAAAATGCCTTTAAACAATACAATAAAGTAGAATCTTACTGCAAGATTCACAATGAAAACAAAGAGAATTTCAGGAAGGTTGAAATCCGGCACTTGGGAGTGTGTGTCAGGCACTGAACAACAGTTACCTCCAACAGCAATAGGGGGAAGAAGTCTTTCATCTCCATGCAATCACCTCACTAAACACAATTAGAATAAAAGAAACCTCTTCCGATCAGTGCAATATCTATACCTAGGAGAGGTGCAAATCGACTCATGTTTTCTGATTGTCAATGGATAATATGAGCAATTCCTTTTTTTAAAAAAAATGTTGACATGTTTCACACTTGGAAGACACAAAACAGTGGCAAATCGACAATTGTGACAGACGCCCATGTCTCCTGTGTTCACCCATTAAAATTTCGTCTTTTGGCGACTTGAAAAATCGATTTATCTACTCCCAGGAAGTCTATTCAAACTGTACCAACCTCTGCCTTCAGCAACGCTTTGCAGAATTTTTTCTTCTTCCTTCAGCCGTTTTTCTTTGGCGGATTCTTTACGTGCTATTAAACAAAATCAGCAAGAGCTTGTCAAAGAGATGTGCTTACAAATTTCAATTTTGTTTAAAAACATAAAAATATAACGCCAGCTACCCCCATTCTTTCTCCAGCCTCCCCTGATGCCCCAACCCAGCTCCTGTCTCTCTGCCCTCAACCTACTTCTATGATTCAATTCTCTGCCATTGTTCACATCCAGTTGAATCCCAATTTTCCACTAATTTCAATTGCCTGCTCGGGACAAGGAAGATTTTGGCCCCTCTTTATTATGGATGGAAGGTAACTTCACACTGGTTATGCATGCATGTGCAGTAAACCTAACCACATTGTTGGCAGTACATTGTGGAGTCCTGTAGTTCAGTGGTTAGAGCACTCGCTTTCAAGTGAGAGACCTGAGTTCAATTCCAGGCAGAGGGCGAAACCTTGGGCAAGTTTCCTTACTCCACACAGAGCCTAATAATAATCCCTCCAAAAAACAAAAAACAATAATAAATTGGTCATTTTCAATCTACGACTGTTTGTGGGACATTGCTGTGCGCAATTGGCTGCCGCGTTCGCCCACAAATATACAGTCAATTCACTTTACAGTGTGTTCTGTGAAGCGTTTTGGGACGTCCTCCCAACGTGAAAAGCGCTATATCAAATGCAAGGATTATTATTATTATTACATTCTCAGCATCGCAATACTGTACCTTCAGCCTTCTCCTTCAGCTGCTGATGCTGGTCCAGCAGGCTGATATTGGATCGGGGTCCAAGTGGCCCATCCCCATCATCCTCCCTGTAATCACTGCCACTGTCCCTCTGGTCATCGTCCAGTGCTCCTTTCCTCCGCATCCGCATCAGCTTCTCCACCTTAGACACACAGTGAAATGGTCAGGACTAGAGATCCAAATAATACATCTCCGCATCTACATGGGGAGGACAAGTTTGCAGGGCTATGGGGAAAGAGCGGGGGAATGGAATTCATTTGGATAGCTCTTTTCAAAGAGCCGGCACAGATACGATGGGTCGAATGGCCTCCTTCTGTGCTGTATAATTCTATGATCTCCATGCTAGCATGTATCCTGGGATTACAGTATAGTTTGTGAAGGCCTTTGACAAGTCTTGAAGACGAGATAAGGAGCTATATCAAATGCAAAGATTATTATTCTAATTATGACGGTTACAATATCTTTCAGCTAGATTCTGACGATACTGCAATCGTCAAAATTACTTTTGAAGAACTACACAACAGTATAGGAAGTAAAGGTCTAATTTGTTGCCCAGAATAACTAGGGAAGCTTATGATCTGTGAACTGTAGCATTCAATTTTCAAATCTTATATGTTTTAAGAAGTAGAACAATAATAATTTGCATTTTTGTAGCACTTTACAAAAGTCTCAAAGCTTTGCTAAATATAATTGAGTAGAAATTAATTTATTTTGAATTTGGCGGTAAATTTGGATTAGAAGACATAAGACTGGATAATCAGGAAAAAGCCTATGTTTCCTTGAAATAGCAATGGCAGGACAGTCTCGTTATGTCTAGATCATAAGGCAACCACAACTAAAATTAATAAGATAAAAAAAATGAGCATCTTGCTCACTCAATAATAGGAAATATTAGGCACAGATTTGCACAGTTTTGGAAACCCTACAATGTGCATTAGGTACTGCTGGAGCTTAATCAGTTTAAAATCAGTGTGGCCTGGCATGGCAACCTTCCTCGGGTAAAACACCTGCCAATTGAGGCTTTGGCTTGCAAGGTTAACACGAGCTGAGTAAAAAGAACCTTTTCCCCTCGTGACTTGATCTGCTTCTCCAAGTTCTACCGACAAACCAGGCTGGTTGTTCTGTCATCAACAGTTCTTGGCAGTTCTGTGGATCTACCTGGCTCAGGAACTGAATTTCCAAGACTGCCATTGATGATCGACTCAATGCTAACATTCCAATGCCAGACACAACACTTCGGAGCCTGCTCTGCCCCAAACAGAACAAACCTCCCCCAATCCCAAGAGGATAGTCAAACCTATTATATTACTGGCTAATGAGTGAAACAGTTAAACCAACACAGCATTCACTGAAACAGTGACAAAAAGCAGTAACTAGCCCATAATCACTATTTACCATCTGCTGCTTTCTCTGTTTGACTGGAACATATGGAATGTAATCGTCATCCGAATCCTCAGACAGCTCCTCCTCGTCAGATCGCGAACGCTGCAAAAGAGAAAAATGTGTAAAACATCCTCAGTAACCGTGCATAATAAAGCTTTGTGAGGTTACATCTGAAGGCAGCAAAATAGAAACTCAAAGGGAAGAATATTAAGACAAGAGGAGCAAATGATTGTGGGATTAGGACCACGTTAGATTGGTTGATGTGGAGGAAACCACTAGCACAGGCATGATCAGCACAAAGCCCTGTTTCTGTGCTAAAAGCATTCTTCTGTCAAATACTTGCAAAGTAATTAAACAGCATCTGATGCACTTTCCTTCCGCAACTGCAGTCCCTACAGCGTAGGGCAGTCAGCAAGTACTGGATGCTGAGTGCTCACCTCCTGCTCACTTATCTTTCTCTCCCCTCTCCCCCACCACTAACATCTCTTTCGCTTCTCCCTCTTTCCTCCTCTCATCTCCCTCAACCCCCTCTCTTCTCGCTCACCACCCTGTCTCCCTCCATCACCCCATCTCTCACTCCCTCACCCTCCCCCACTCCTCCCCTCACCCCTCTTCGCCACACACTCCCCCCTCCCTCTCCCTCCTCCAACACCCCCTCCCTTCCTCCTCCCCACCCTTTCTCTCCCTCCCTCCTTCACCCCCTCTCCCCTCCACCAACAACCCCCATTCCTTCCTTACCCCCTCTCCCCTCCACCAACACACCCCCCTCCCCTCCCTCACCCCCTCTCTTCCTCCCTCAACCCCTCTCTCTCTTCACCAACACCCCCCCCTCTCCCTCCCTCCCTCAACCCCTCTCTCCCTCCACTAACACCCCCCTCTCTCCCTCCCTCCCTCTCCCTCCACCAACACACCCCCTTCTCCTTCCTTCACCCCGTCTCACAAATACCCACAGCCCTGATGCTCACCTTCCCCTCAGCTCTGTACCGCTCTCGGCCGCCTCGCTCGGGCTCCATGTCTCTCTCCCCCCCCAAAAAACACACACACCACCAACACCACGTCCGGTCGGCCCGTGACGCACTTCCGGCGAGTCCCGGCGTCGCGTGACGTCGTCGCGGTTGTGATGACGCAAAACGAAGCGCTTCCTGTCGTGACGGCCGTTGACTCTCACCATGGCAACCACCCGTCATGGCGGGGTGGCGGAGGTGAGGGGCCGGGGTCTCTCTGGGCGGGCGGCCGCCGCGCACCAGGCTCCGCGCCAACCGCGCTCTGTCACTTCATTGGCAACCGGTCCCTTGGGTCTCTCCTAGCAACCGAGGGAGGAGGGGGGAATGTGGGGGAGAAAGTGTGGGGGGGGGATAGAGGGGAGAAAGTGTGGGGGGAGGGAGGGAGGGGAGAAAGTGTGGGAGGGAGGGAGGGGAGAAAGTGTGGGGGGAGGGAGAGAGGGGAGAAAGTGTGGGGGGGAGGGAGGAAGGGGAGAAAGTGGGGGGGGAGGGAGGGGAGAAAGTGTGGGGGGAGGGAGGGAGGGGAGAAAGTGTGGGGGGGGGAGAGAGGGGAGAAAGTGTGGGGGGAGGGAGGGAGGGGAGAAAGTGTGGGAGGGAGGGAGGGGAGAAAGTGTGGGGGGGGGGAGAGAGGGGAGAAAGTGTGGGGGGAGGGAGGGAGGGGAGAAAGTGTGGGAGGGAGGAGGGGAGAAAGTGTGGGGGGGGGAGGGAGGGGAGAAAGTGTGGGGGGAGGGAGGGAGAAAGTGGGGGGGGAGGGGAGAAAGTGTGGGAGGGAGGGAGGGGAGAAAGTGTGGGGGGGAGGGAGGGGAGAAAGTGTGGGAGGGAGGGGAGAAAGTGTGGGGGGGAGGGAGGGGAGAAAGTGGGGGGGGGAGGGAGGGGAGAAAGTGTGGGGAGGGAGGGAGGGGAGAAAGTGGGAGGGAGGGAGGGGAGAAAGTGTGGGGGGGGAGGGAGGGGAGAAAGTGGGGGAGGGAGGGAGGGGAGAAAGTGGGGGGGAGGGGAGAAAGTGTGGGGGAGGGAGGGGAGAAAGTGTGGGAGGGAGGGGGAAAGTGGGGGGGAGGGAGGGGAGAAAGTGTGGGGGAGGGAGGGAGGGGAGAAAGTGTGGGGGGAGGGAGGGGAGAAAGTGTGGGGGAGGGAGGGAGGGAGGAGAAAGTGGAGGGAGGGAGGGGAGAAAGTGTGGGGAGGGAGGAAGGGGAGAAAGTGGGGGAGGGAGGGAGGGAGAAAGTGGGGGGGAGGGAGGGAGGGGAGAAAGTGTGGGGGGAGAAAGTGGAGGGAGGGCGGGGAGAAAGTGCGGGGGGAGAAACCCAGCCAGAGGCTGGTACCTTTAGCACACCCGACAACTTACATTTATATAACGCCCTCTAAATGCAAGCATTATTATTATTATTATTATAATACAGTAATAATAATTCCTTACATCCTGAGGAGAAAGCTGAAAGTCTTCACTTTCAGCTTTGCCTCAGCTTTAAGCAGTCGTTTCGCTCTTGTTAAATGTTTAGTTCTCACCTTTGCCCTTTTCTGCGGAGGGGTTAAACTGGGGATAACGTGAATAGCTTTGCAAGACAACACTTTTTGATCTGTAGATCAGCCCAATAAAATCTGCCATCAGTTGAATCGGACGACAAATTTCCCGGCCAAAGGCCCACATGTATGGTTAGTGTAACAGTGGGACTGACGCAATAGGGTGCATTGGAGGGTGTCTGCGATAGAGCGATGAAGGAAGTCTGCTTGAGCTAATGAGTTAGATGTATTTACTTTCGCCAGATGCTGCACATCTAACATCAACTCAGTGAATGGAGATTGCCAAAGCCACACTACGCTGTGCGTCCCGTCTTTGTCTGCAATACACAGAGTACTTCAATTTCTATTCAAAATGTATAAATTAACAAACCACTCGGCTCTATCGGCATATTCAACATTTTATTGATTACTTTGAAAACAGAATGGATAGAATACAAATATAACTATAAAAATTACACTTTTACCGCCTTAACCTATACACTAACATTATTCCCGTTTTGTGTTCTTCCCTCAGCTGCATCTGTCCTGTCAAAGAAATACAAAAACCTGATGAGTCATGCAATATTGAGTCACTGAGTCATGCAGTGATATTCATAGCAGTCCAGAGGCCACTTATGGCCTATCTCTCTTCACCAAGGGGTTCTCAACAGACCTGTTACTTCAAATGGGCTTCCAATCATCCACATCACCCAGATGTGGGAATCTTACTAGAGCTGGGATTCAGCCTAGTTCCCTGTCTATCCTATGAAGGAACGTTATTAGGCAATGAGGTTATCCCATCATTTATACAGTTCAACTAAAAGATCTAAAATTTTAATGTAAGATCATTACTACAATTCTCTACATGTATTCTTTGGGGAAGATGTTTGCTCTACTCAAACGCATAATAATGATAATCCTTGCATTTGATATAGTGTCTTATCACGTCTTCTAGACTTTTCAAAGCACTTCACATATACTGTAAAGTGAATTGACTGTATAAGATCGCTCACCATGTGAGGATTCACAAGTACAGACAGGAGTCTTTGTGATACAGATAGGGATCCACAATCCTGACTCCAAAGCATGTGAGAGAGAGAAAATGACATCACTTTGGAGTCCTAATATTGTCCCAGAAGTGAGAATTGCAGAGCCGAGATCATGCCAGGTAAATCATCCATTGACCATTGTAGACTTCCTCAGTTACTGAAGCTAATTGTAGTGCCCCAATTCCAGTCCTGGCTGAGAGAGCAGTGAACCCAGGATAGATATGGGCAATTCAAGCCTGTAATTGTCTATAATCTAAAGGTTTTAACCCACTGATCCCAAATGGAATGGTCATATATCTTGTTGAAGCTAACACCAAAAGCTTAACTTCCACTTTTTCTTATTTTCTTCTCAATATGAGAAGAAACCATATGTTTGTTGATAACTGGAACACTGTTACCATATCTGGGAGCTTCTTCTCTAGCACCTCAGGAACTCCTGGTCAGGGTATAAGCAAAGGTTTGTCACACAACAAGTGTTTGTCCTCTCACCCCTAGCTTCCAAACCCCTCTTTCACACCTTTTCTCACATTCATTGATTATTGTTATTGTATCAAAACTTGAAGCTGTAGCCCAAACAATAAATTATTTGGGTTTAACATCATCTTATTTACCCTACCTATAAAATCTAATATCTTGTGCACCTTATTCATGGCTTTTTCCACCTGCAGTTCTACTTTTATAGACATGTGTATCTATTCTTTTCCACTCTTTTGAAAATGTTATTGTGTCATCTGTATTTTCACCCCATGTTCTTCTCAAAATGATAAAATGATAAATTTATCTACATGGAACATCATTTGCAACAGATCTGCCCGTATCCTTTTTTCCTCAAGATTAATGCTCAATCTGTTTACCTCTTTTTCTGTAGTGTCATTTGTCTTGTTTCTTCTCCAAAAGTTAGGTAGGCAAGAAATGGTCCTCATCTCCCTTTGAGAAACAAATAAATCAATGAGTAAATTTACCAAGTCGGATTGACCAGGCTAGCAATCATATATAGTGGACCTTTGGATAACCAAGACATATATATCCAAAGACTCTCCCCTGTCTTTGAAATCAGTTCCAGTTTTGTTACTCACTTGTTTTCATTTCTTCTCTCTTCAACGTCTCCAACGTGGCTTTCTGTTGACGATATCCTGACATCAACTTTTAGTTTCTAAAAACAAAATGAATAAATGAAATTTTGGGTCAAATTGATGAATTACACTTAATGTAAATCCTCAGGTTTTAACCACGAAAATGAGAACTCCCACAGCCTTCAACCCAAGATCCTCCCAATGCAGCAGAGAATGAACTAGCTCTCCAGTACACATTTCAGTCCAGAGCACTCCCCCCATCCACTCCTATTGCAGCATAGTTTAGACAGTAAACTTTGGAAGTGAAGGACTACTTGTGTTACTTCCTACCACGCAGGAAGCTGGCTATATTGATTCAGGATAATGACTGACCATCTTACGGCTCTTCAGCTTCAGACAACAGTTTTTGATCATATTCCCCTGAGCCAAATCTTCAACAGATATAACATCAGGTCTTGGATTGAGAGATCTGTAGAATAATGATACAAAGGTGATTAAAAGCAAAATGTTTTCAAAAATGTAATGTATTTATAGTTTCTAACCAAACTGCACATAATTAGTTGAACTTAGCTCGTTAATATTGCAATTCTGTTCAGAATTTCAGATGAACCTCTCTTAAGTATAAAAAAACATAGCACAATAGGGAAATTTTCCCAGTATCTTGACCAACAATCCCCAAATTTATAAAATGGCCACTTATTTTGTGTAAATTGATTGCTGTGTTTGTCTACAAATATACACTCATTACACTTCACAGTAAAATCCTGCGAAGCGCTTTGGGATGTCCTTCTGACATAAAAGATGTGATATGAATGTAAATTGTAATTTATAGCTTGGAATCAGAGGTGAGGCAATTCTCAAAAAAAAGATAGACAATGTATGCGATAATTGTTTAACTGGATTGACAAAATGTTTAAATCCTGTGTATAAGTTACTTTTGTTTCAGTTTTAATTTAGATGTTTGAGTACTATCATCTTTTATAACGTATTATAGTTTCTCAATTAAAAAATCTAGAGAAATATTCCCTCTTTCTAGATTATGGGCAGCATCATATTATTTCTGATTTTACAGAAAAATTCTATTACCAAAAAGTTTTCAAATACATACCAACCATTTTCAAAATTGATATTTTTTTCTACTCACTGGTTAGACGCAGGAATTATTTTTGCTTGACAGATATTCATTCTGTTTCCTAACAAATGAAAATCACATTATCATGAATGAACACTGATATCATATCAATTTTACACTGTAACACAAATCACCTTTTATGACCCTGACCCTGACTCTGCAATCTACCAGTAATATTAGTTTCTAGATTGATATCTTCACTTTTTGGGGGGTAAAACGTTCTGGAAAAATAAATTAAGTAGATGAAAAATGTTTGCTACCCTCCAACTGGCAAAACATTGGAAAACATATTGATAGTTTAGCCTATAGTCAACAGCGCAACACAATAAT